GGGGGCTGCCCGAGGGACCCTCCCCAGGGCTGGGACCCCCCCCCTCCCGGGGCTGGGACCCCCCGCACCCTCACCCGGGGGGCATTGGGCTCCCCCGGGGGGCAAACAGCCGCTCTCCGGGGGCCTCAGGCCCTCCTGGCGCGGCTGGGAAGCCTGAGGCTCAAGAGGCCTAAACCCCGGGAGCAGGCCTGGGCCTGCTGGTGGGAGCGTCCTTTGCAAAACAGTCGGGAGCAGGGAGAGAAGTGGGAGCTGAACACCCGGCAAGAGGACGTGAGGCACGTTATGCCCAGGGAGGGCTGGAATCCTAACTCCAGGGTTGGCCTGAAGTGGCACAGACTGAAGTGAGGACAGAAACTGCTTCTGTGTGGAGTCCAGAACCTGCAAAGGGGCTGAGGTGTGTGGTGGTTTAGTAAAAGAAAAGCAATCGATTGATAACTCTTTAACCAGCTCTCAGTCGTGCTGGAAAGTCTTTCTGACATTCATGGGGAAAGTGCTGCCAGAGCAAATTCAATATTATGCACTGGCTACTTGGGATCCTCGTGAAATTGTGCAGGGAGCAAGAGATCCAGTTTATAAACAAAGTGACCACCTCTTGGATCTTGTTTAGTCAGAACAAAGTGACCACCTCTTGGATCTTGACACTGTTTGTGACAAAAAGAGCATGGTTCACACCCATCCTGCAGAGTTTTGATGCTCATGACAGATGCACACCTCCTCACCCCTTCACTCAGCCAAAAGCAGCTCCTGCTTGGCCAGTGAGGTCACGGCACTGTCCCCGAAGCCAGGCAACTTCTGCAAGCCAGAGAGGTGTCACCTGGCAGCAGCATGACACGGAGAAGCTCCAGCCACCCTACTGTACTCACCAATGTAGAAACCCGGCTCAGTTTCCAGCCGGGCATTCTGCCAAGGAGTCAGGAGAGTCACAGACTCAGGGACACAAAGTGCTTCCCCACAGCCTTGCAGCTGGACACCTCCTTGGCGTGGCTGGGAGGCAGCTTGCACAGGGCTGCTTGCAGCCCCCCAGGGGCTGAGCGGCCTGGGAGGACTTAGACCATGTCTCCTTTAGCTGCCCCGCAGCCCCTGAGCCTCGTGTTTCTTTTGGGGTTGGGGATGGCATCAGAGAGGACCAGCTGCCCGAGCAGGTGTAGCTGTCAGTACCTGGAAGTGAACTGCACAGGGCAGCAGTTGCAGGAGTTCCCTGAAGCCATCCCACTGGACACCAGGCAGCTGATTCTGGCAGCAAACAACGTCTCTTACCTGCCAGCTGTGGAGCTGAGCTTCTTGGCTGATTTGGTCTATCTGGACTGCAGGAAGAACCTCTTGGGGGATGACCTGGATTTCACTTTCATTGGTGTGGCCAAGCTTGTCTATCTGGACCTCAGCTTCAACAACCTGACACAGGTCACCTTTAGCACCTTCTCACACCTCCTCAGCCTGGTAGTGCTGAAGATCTCAGACAACCCCAACCTTGTGGCCATTGAGAAGGATGCTTTCACCAATAACACCTGGCTGAGGCACCTGGATGTGAGCCGGACAGGACTGACATTCCTGGACACCAGCACTGTCCAGGACCTGCCCAACCTGAGGTTTCTGGGGCTCAGCAACAACCTGTGGCACTGCAACTGTTCCTTTTTGGACTTCATCACCTGGATGACAGAGAGCGACGTTCACTTTCCAGGTGAGGGCTGTGTGAGCGGGACCTCTCTCCTCTCTGCTCCTGCAGGTCTGTGTGGGATGGACAGGGCCCTGTGTTTTCTCTTTCCCAAACTTCAGCTCACGGTGCTCAACTGTGGCTCCCATCTTCTGGTGTTTTCACAAAGCACAGATCAGAGCACACGTGCTCCAACAGGGAGCCACCCTTGCTCACATCCTTAGGGCAGTCAAGGAAGTGTAACCTGTAGCTGCTGCTGCTCAAAAACTCCAGGCTCAGCCTTCCCTCTCCCCAAGGCTCTGGGCACACCTGTGCTGGGAAAGCTGCTGCTCTGAATTTCCTGCCTTGTCTCCATCTGCTCTGATCGTTCATTGCTGCTGCAGTGCTAGTGTGTCCATAACGACCAGTTAACCCCCCTCTGTCTGTGCAAATGTTCTCCTGCCTCTGTATTGACCTGCTTGGGGCAGCCTCTCCAGCCCTGAGCTCTCCACCCTTCAGTCAAAGTCCCCTTCACCTCAATCCCTTCCTGCTTGCCTCTTCCTGCACAGCATGCCTGGCAGGCAGACCTCATCCATGTGACATCTACAGCAATTCTGCTCAACACTGAAAACAAAGGTGGGTTTAAAGCCAGTCAGCTCCTCTTCTCCTTTCAAATATCCCTGGCAGGGTCCCTGGGAAAAGCTGGAGCAGTGTGGGCGTCACCAAGAGTTTGCCTGCTGACTTCTGTGGGGCTGTGGTCACACCCTGCTGCCCATCAACCCCTTTCTGTAGATGAAGAGTGGACAAAATGAAAGCCCTTTGCTGTAAGAGCATGGCAGCTGATGTGCTAGGACAAATAAAAATTACAAACCCTGCAGCCTCCAGCTGTGACAGTGCACCTCAGCCCTCAGAGCAGGAACATTTGACTCACTCTCTATACCAGACTGTGATCCAATGCTCAGAAGTCAGTGAAAAACCTTTTGCTGCTCCCACGGGAGCTCTGGTTTGGGTCCCAGATCACATTTTATGGTCCGAGTGAAATACAACACAAGTTGTGCTCAGAAAAGTGTCTGTATCCTAATGGCTGGGAGGGTCCATATGTTCCCAGTCTTCCTCCAGCACTGCAGAGCAAATTGGCTCCCTTTTAAGTTTACCAATATAAGAAAGATAGGTGCAATGCAGGTGAGCACTGAGTGCCACAGGCTGCAGCAGCACAGCTTAGCTTCCTTCTAAAGAAAAGCCATTTATTGAAAACAGGGTCTCCAAGACTTTCCTTACATCGTTTGAGATGCAAAAATCCGCTTTTCCCATCAGATCGAGAGATTCTGCAACTGGGCAGGTGGACACAGTGTTCATGAGGCAGGATAATCACCAGTTAGTTCCCTTTCCCAGAAAAACATTGGTCCCAAGGGCAAAACTGTGCTCTGCAGCTGCAGCACATGAGCTTGGTTTTCCAAATCTAAGGAACATAGCACAGCACGTACCAGTGATGAGCACTTGGTGCTCAGGCACGCAGGGCACAGTGGTGAGAGGGCTGAGAAAGAGGAATTATTTGAGCAAGTCTGTCCATCCAACAAGAAAGGGGGACAAAAGAGCTCAAAGGCAAGAAAAGATAAGTGCAAATGGAAGCTGGTGTTAGGACAGAACTGAGTGAAGGACATGTCTGTGTCTTATTAGATGTCATAAGCTCTCAATAGACAGTGAAGTTCTTTATTTTCCTCATACATGTTACAGTTATGGAACTGTAAAAAAGTACTGTTCTTAGCAGTAAGATAGGAGGGAACACACTGAACCCTGGAGCAGGAGAATAAAGCTCACAGCAGGCAATCTGGGAGTGCAGGAACAGCAAAGACTGGGGGATGAGTACTGATCCCTGCACTGTGCTCTGAAAAATGGGAAAACCAAGGAAACCAGGCAGCCCACAGAGGCTGCTCCACTTCCCTGCTGTGCTGGGCTTTGCTGTGTCCTGACGAGCTGCTGTGGGCAAGCCTCCAGGTGGCTGTGTGCCTTCCAGGACTGGTGTGAGAGCTGACAAAGCTTTCATGCTGCTGCTATGTGTAGGTAGGCTGGACACCCTGGACCAGAAATACCCACTGGCCTTTAGGCAGGAAAGGCAGCTCCCCCCTCATCAGGACTAGGTGGCCCTAAACTGAGGGTTGTGACAGGAGCTGACAGCTCCAGTGCAGAGGGATACTGGGACAGAGCCCTGAAATCTGCTGGAAGCAGATCCCCATCCCAGCATTTTAAAAGCTATTGCTGCTTCACAGAGCATCTTTGCACCAGTGTTGTGTGCTCAGCTGGATCTGTGCAGCTTCAGCGCTGACATCAAGTTGCCCAGATCTAGATGGACCTTCTAGAAAAGGAGATGGCCAGGCCTGAAGGTGCTTTTACAACACCCATCCTTTTTATTTCAGAGGGAAAGCCAGCAAGTTTTTTTCTCACTGCATATATTACAATGTGACAAAGCATAGTCACTCTTTCAGAACTGAATCACTGATGAGTTTCCTCTTGCTCTCTGGCAGAGCAGCTGGGGGCTATGCCCAAGTACAAACCACCCTCAAACACAAGCCTCATTATTCCAGCATAATTTAGGCTATATCACTCCAGAGGGTGTTTGAGATTTAAAAAAAACCAAACCACTCACAACCAAACACAAGTGCTCTTATATTAAAACAAAAGAGCTCAACCAGCATAGATGAACAGCAGAGACAGCAGCTTGCCAGTGACATAATCCAACAAGGCCATGTTTTCCTATGGAGGTAACACCACTGAAATCTTTCTGGCAACCTGGCTGTTGTGGTTTGGCAAGGGTTTGCCTTTCTGAGTTTACCTTAGCCACGGAGGGAGAGGGGTGTGAAGACTGTAGACATTTTTCAGGGGTTTAGCAAACTCCTCCATCCTTTTCTAGCAGGACCAAGACACAGGCAAGAGAGTCTTGCTTTTGCTTTTCCCTCTGCAGATGCTGACAACATCACCTGCTACACCCCAGGAAGCCTGCGTGCCCTGAAAATGCCTGCAGTGGAGGCACAGCTCCACTTCAGCTGCCTGACCCAGCTGCACAAGCAAGACTACATCTTTCTTTGCCTCGTTGGCCTCTGCATATTCTTTGCTGGTACCATGGCAGCCTGGCTGGCTGGCATCTGTGCTGTCCTCTACAAAGTCCACACTTCCAAGGGGGGGGAGGAGGAGGAGGAAGACACAATTGCTTAGGATCAGCCCTACAAATCTGAATGTCTGTTGTGGGAACCCAAGGCAGGCCTGATTTCCCACATTATGTCCCACTCTAGATGCTGTTTTTCTGACATGAAATAAAGCTGCAAGAGAAGAATAGTCTCTCTGCTCCAGTTTCACTCCCTGTTCTTCCTTGCTACTTCCACCTTTCTTCTCCCACTGGGGCTTGGGACATTGGCAAAATATTCAACTGAGGGGCATGAGAGATGCTCACAGTGCCCTTTACTCTGAGACCACAGAAAAGGGAGTTCAGTGCAGAGCCTGTATTGTCCCAGGGACAGGTTTAAGAGGTGCAACTTGAAATATGGGAAAGGCCCCAGCACTCTGCCTTAGCCAGGGAGTTCACCCAGCCCTTTTCAGAATCACCAAACAGTCCAGCAGAGCTTATTGGGACCAGCCCAGATCACTCACTGGAGCCTCAGGGAATCCAAGAACTTTGTTTAGCCAGGGAGTTCACCCAGCCCTTTCCAACCAGAAAGCCCAGCAGAGCTTATTGGGACCAGCCCAGATCGCTCACTGGAGCCTCAGGGAATCCAAGAACTTTCTGCTGTGGAAAAGCAGGTATGTGAGCAAAGAGATTAAAACCAGGACTTTTAGGGGCCTGGGATCCCACTCATCCCTGCTGTCTGCCCCATTACACCAGCAACAGCTAAAGATGCCACCTGTCCCCCTGCAGCCAGACCCCCTGTACCTCCACTGGCTTATGAACATTTACAGAACTGGAAAGTGCAGCTCCAGTTTTGTGTCACGTAACCCTAAAACTTGATTTATTTCCTTTTTAAATTTAAAAAAAACAACAACAAACCAACTATTGCTTATGTACACTCCTAGTACTCTTGGAAATGGCTTGTGTTTTGATGCCAAGGTCCCAGGTTTGCATGTACAGACCAGCATAAAGGGAGGTGTAAATAAGATCCTTCGTATCACTGACACTGGTAATTGCCAAGAGAAGGATCTCCTTACATGACCGAGCACAGCAACTCCACGTGTGAAACACTGGCTTCTCCATCCGATACTGGCAGGCTCTGGGGAAATAAAAGGGAGAAGCAGGTGAAGATTTCAGCCGGCAGGGTATGAAGCACCATCCTGCCTTACAGCCTGTGAATCAAAGCCGAAACCTTTGCGTTAGGTAGAACCGGTGTGATTAAGAGTGGATGTGGCAGCGCCATCTGCCACGGGGAGGGATGTGCCGGGCACAGGTGCGGGGCTGGAACGGGATGGAAGCCCCTCAGCAACCCTGGCAGAGCCTGGCGGGGGGAAAACCCCCCCGCAGAGCCACGCGAAGCTGTGACCACCCACCTCTCGGGAACACCACCGGGCTCCCGAGCTCCGCCCCGTCGGTGCGGGATCCCGCCCGGGGGCGGTTCTGCGGGCAGAGCCGGCCCCGTTCCGGCCCGTTCCTTCCCGTTCCGTGCCGTTCCGCTCCGCGCCGGAGGGTGAGTGAGCTTATGTTGGTGACCCTGAGAGATGGTGCAGAATATACGGGCAGGGCTTTGACCTTCCTCCCGACTTCCCTTTTGCTCCCCGAGCGCAGGACTCCCCTGCACCCCGGGATGGGCAGGGACCCCCCTGCACCCCGGCTTGGGCAGAGCCTGACCTGGCAGGGCTTGCGGGGAGCTGTGCCCTGGAGCTGAGCCTGCGCTCCCCTGGTCACAGCGGGGACAAAACGTCTCTCTGGGCTTTTGGAGAGAGGCTGAGCTGGTATCTGGTGGCCCAGTCAGGACCCGAGCGTGGGTCTGTACAAGGAGGCGTAACTAGCTTTGCTGACTCATAATCCCTGTAGTGTTAGGGCAAACCCTCCTTCTGTGGAGTAAAAGCACCCCCGGGGAGCAGTCCTGCTCCCAGCCTGTGCTGGGTCATGCTCCAGAACCTCCTGGTCCTGTGTGTCCAGCCTGAAACATTGCTGGGTGGAAGATACAAACGCAGGAGTGTCCACCACGCCAGAGCTTGTCCCCAGAGTCCTTGCAGCTGTGGACAAAGGTCGCTGAAACACCAGCCTCCTCTGCTGGGTGGGAATGTGTTGTGTTTTCAGCGTTTCATCTGTCAGGTGCTTATCGTTGTTACACGTGGGTGCAACTGACATTTCTTAATTAGCCGAGGTTTTGAATGTTCTTCCTGACAGTTGGTTGCCAAACTTCACGTGGACAGAGCGAGCTGTTGTCATCAGCTTGCTCCATCAGTAATAATCCCTTTGCAAATGAGAAATAAAATGCCTCTGGTCCCTGAAGATCCTTTGTGAGGGGTGCTGTGGGTTGGGTGCTCTTGCAATGGGAAGGCTGTTTGCAGCAGGTCTGTGATGTGGCACATTTTCTCCTGCACTGACAGATTTTGTTGGTGGGACAGGGCAGGAGACACCTAAACCTTGCTACATCCTGGAGGCACCAGGTGGAGGTAGGCATCAGCTAGAGATGGCTTGGAGAGGGAATCAGCTCAGTGCTGGAGTGGGATCTCTTCTGTCTTCTGCTGTGCTGCATCATGCAGCACCATCTTGGGTCACGCAGAGAGGCAACATCTGAGGTTTGGGACTGTGCAAGAGAACCAGTGCCAGAGGATTGTGGGGAAGTGCTCTTGCACTCCTTTGTATCTGGAGCAGGTGCTGAGCTCTCAGAGCAAGCACATCCCAGCAGTGTGGGCTGGCAGCAGGTCTGGTGGATGGGGAGCAGGGAAGAGGGAGATGCATGCAGTGCAGCCATGGTGGAGGCTGCTGGATGCCCCTTCTGCTCTGTGCTTCCATCAGTCCCGCAGGAGGAAGTGCAGAACTGCACTTAAATGCAAACCACACAGGCCCTGGTGCCTCCTGGCCAGCAGCCTTGCTTGTGCAGATGTTGGTAAGTTGGCTGCGTGTTGCTGGGGGCTGTTCATGGACCTGCAACTCTGAGAGGGTTTGTTGAAGCCGCAGGGGTGAGCACTGCTCATCTTGCCAGTCCCTCTTTACCAGAAAGGCTCAGTTATTATTACTATTGGGGTTTGACTATTATTTTATGTCTGGATGTCCTTTTTACAAGGGCTCGTAGCAAAAGGACAAGTGGTAATGGATTAAAACTGGACATTTAAGTTGGACATTAGGAAGAAATTCTTTAGTGTGAGGGTGGTGAGACACTGGAACAGGTTGCTCAGGGAAGTTGTGGATGCTCCATTCCTGGAAATGTTCTGTGATTTTTATGGTTCTATGACTCTTAGTGGTTCAGACTAACCATGTGCTCCAGCTTCATTCAGCTTGGGGTTGCTAAGCCAGTTTGTGTTTACCTGTATTAAAATTCCCAATTCACACCTTATTCCCAGAGCTTGCCCAGTTTCTCCTGGAGTTTATGAAAACTGCCTGAATTGAAAACACCCCTGGGCAAGGAGCTCCTCAGGTCTGTTTCCCACTGCAGGAGGAAACACCTCTTTTGTTGTTTGTTTGGTTTTTTTTTAATCTGTTTCCTGACTTCACTTGCTGGTGCTTAGTTCTGGTGTTGGAAGTGGCCATGAACCATCAGTGTCATTCCAGCCCTCCAGAGCACACCTGCAGGCACAGCTCTGTGTCAGTGAGGTCATGGGACTTGGCTGGAGCTGATGGGACCTGCTGCTGGCTGTAGTTCTGCTGAGCTGGAGACTGGACTGGGGTCCTTCAGACACCCCCTTCCACCAGCACTTCAGTGATTTTAAGGCTCACTTGACAGGAACTGAGCAGGAAGCCTCTGGTTTGTGCTACTGAATAACCAGCAGGCACCAATAGGTGAAAAGTCCCCAACTCATTATTTCTCCCTTCCTTCAGCAAGTCCCCATGCTGGGAGGCTTTGGGTCCATCCTCAGCAACTCTTCCACACAGATATCTCTGCATGTAGGGAGCTGCCACTTCTCCAGTCACACCCTGAATCACAGAATCGTTTTGGTTGGAAAGAACTTTTAAGATCACCAATTCCAACCATTTACCCAGCACTGCCCAGGCCACCACTAAACCAGGTCCCTCAGCTTTTCAGTCCCTCCAGGGATAGTGACTCAGCCACTGCTCTGGGCAGCCTCTTCCAGTGCCTGACAACCCTTTGGGTGAAGCAATAGTTCCCAATATCCAATCTAAACGTCCCCTGGCACAATTTGAGGCTATTTTGTTTTGTTTTGTCTTGTTTCTTGGGAACAACAGGCTCTGTTATTCTGACCCCACCGAGATGGCTGTTCTCTCAAAGGAGTATGGCTACGTGATGCTGACAGGGGCTGCCAGCTTCATCATGGTCATGCACCTTGCAATCAAAGTGTCCAAGGCCCGCAAGAAGTACAAAGTGGAGGTGAGTGCTCAGGGTGAGGGGATGGGAAGGCCAAAGCCAGGTCTGCAGGGGATGTTGAAGACAAGCTCTAGGTGACACCTTTGTTCTTTTTTGGGTGACTCGGTGGTTTTTCCTGCCGTACCACACGGATGCAAAAGGGATGGAGCTGCTGTCCTGGCTCTCCAGAGTGTGCTCTCTGGCACAACAGAGGTTGGGGGTTGGCAGATCAGGTGTTTGGCACCGAGCCGAGCTGAATTGATAGCACGAGACTCTGAGCTTGGAAACACTGATTGAGCAAGAAACCATGCAGCTTTTTGTCCTGCAAAGGTGGCCAGTGTCAGGGCAAAAGGATCACAGTGGATCAAAAAGTGACAGGAGGGTTTCTTGAGCTCAGAGGAAGCCCACAAGCCCTATCACAAGAAGTATTTCAAAGTGACCTTTCCTCCATGGAGGAGCCTTTGAGCTGGGTGGGGCTGGTCCTTCCTGTGAGTCACAGCATGTGGAGGCTGCTGTGCCAAAGGCTCTTTTCTCCTTCACCTTGGGCTCCCTAGGGAGAGGTGCTGCAGGGAACACTTTTTGCTGCTGGAGAATGCTGAGAGCCCAGACTTGCTCATGTTTATTTTTTTATGGCAGTATCCAACCATGTACAGCACAGACCCCGAACACGGGCATATGTTCAACTGCATCCAGCGTGCACACCAGAACACGTGAGTACCACCTATGAATGTGGACCTTGAAAACACACAGGGCTGTGAAGCAGGGCCTACAGCTGGAGGCTCACTGCTGCCAAGTGCTTGGAGTTCAAGCTCAACACCTGAGGAAAACACACAACTATGTAATGCCCAGCAGTGAGGCTGTTCTGGCTCTTTACCATGTCTTAAACCACACGGTGGGACTATGAAGCAGCCTCCTCTTCCCCACTGCCTGGCTTTCTGCCCCTGTGGGTGGATCTTAAGACACTAGAATCTTGTTTCCAGAAGAGCTGAGGGCTGCTGATCTGTTGCATTGGCCAGATCTCTGTGGGGAGAGGCTGCTGTGGACCAGGCTGCAACAGCCCATCAGAGGAACAACTCCTCCTGGATTACCTGGTGGCAAGTAGTGGCTTAAGGCACCAACTGGCAAGAGTGGGTGGGTGCCTTGAAGAGAGGCACAGATGGGGGGGAAGTCCTGAGAAGTCTGTACATGCTCAGATTCCCTCTTTCCTCTATCTGTGGCCACAGCATCAAGCAGAGCCTCCTAACAGTCAGGCCTAGCAGAAACCTTGGCAGGGGAGGCTCACAGCTTCTTCTGCATTTCTGGAGTTTCTTCTTTGTGAGCAACTTGAGGACCAACATAACCTCCTCACTTTTTATTTTCAGATTGGAAATCTACCCCCCCTTCCTGTTCTTCTTAGCCACCAGTGGATTCTACCACCCGGTGAGTGAGGCTACAGTGCAGGTCTGCAGGACTCTGCTCTGGCTCCCTGACTTGGGGAGTATGGGGGGGCTACAGGCCAAGCTAGTCCTCCTGGGACAGCAAGGCTGCTTCACCAGGCACATCACACTTCACAGCTGTGCCCCTCTGAAAATGTAGCAGCAGCAGGACTTGTGCAGGGGGGGGTCACACATAGGTAATAAAGTTGTTATTGCTGCTTCAGCTTTAGACCCCTTGCCTTGCCCCAAGGGTGCCTTGCCAGAAAAACTGAAGCATTTGCAGCCTCCAGTCTATGAGCAGGAAGGAGCCCTCCAACCCTGCCTGGTTCTTCCAAGCCCCACAGGGACATGCTGGGCTTACAGTGGTGCTGCTCAGCAGATGGCAGCGTGAAGGATGTGGACCTTTATCTGATAAGAATATATGAGGAACATGATGATCCACCACCAAAGGAGGTGTGCAAATGATCAAAAACAGCCTGGCTTATTTTTAACTGAAAGATATAGACAATGCATGAGGAGGCAGGCATGTGGAAGAGGCTTAATGAGGAGCTCTTTCTTTGGCATCAATGGACAAATCAGGTCCTTCTTGAATATTCCTTGTCAGAGAGGGAAGGAAGCAGCACAGGCAAATCTGGCAAACTGGAGCTACATTTCAGCAAGCTCTAACTTAAGTGGAAGTTTCTAACACCTGCCACAGGAAACCCTGCTGGAGACAGCAGAATGGGGCTTGGGCCAACAGCTGCCTCCAAGACCCTGGCACAGGGTCTCTAGGTCACGAATTGGACAGTGGTAAAATGAGATTCAGCACCTGCAGCTTGGATGGCTCAAACGTTCCTTGCTTGGCAAAAAGTTGTGCTGCAGTAGGGCTGCTATTACAGCAAAGCAAGTGCCAAGTCTCCAAAACCTTCAGTGCTTCTCCTTTCTCTCCAGCGTGTTGCCACAGGGCTTGGCCTCACCTGGATCCTGGGGAGGATCCTTTATGCCTACGGCTACTACACCGGAGGTAGGTCCTCACCCTGCTGCACGCAGAAGGTTCTTTGGGAACTCGGGTCTCCTACCATGGCCTCAGGGTGCTTTCCTCCAGTTCCCAGCAAGGAGGCAGCACAAAGCTTCCAGTCGGGGTGTGGAGGGAAGGGTGCAACGGTTACTAACTCTGCAGTACATTTTTCCTACCGACAGGAAGAGCCCTAGGCCAGTAGTGACACAAACTGAGGACAGGTATATGGCCCTGAGCTGGTGCCTGCTGTTCTGCCTTGAGATTTACCTCTAGTTCCTGCTCCCTCTAATTCTTAGGATGGGCTAGTCTTTCAGTGGTGGGCTGCTGAATTGACAAAACATGTCTTTTTTCTTCCAGATCCCAAAAAAAGGGCGAGAGGGGCCTTTGGTTCAATTGCAGTGATTGGGCTGATGGGCACAAGTGTGTACTCAGCTTGTCAGCACCTTGGCTGGATCTGCCAGAACTAACCTGCTGATCATAGTGGCTGCCTGGGAAACAAGAGGGATTCTTGTTTCATTTTCTTTTCTCCTCATTCAATAAAATGAAGTTGTTCATTCTGTATTTTCATTCTGAAGTGACAGAGGGTTTTCTTAATAAGTTTTGCTGGAACAACTCTGGGTTTGTAAGGACTACAGAAATCTGCCCATCGAGCAGAAATATACTAGCTTTTATGATTTAAGGAACCAAAAAAAAGTCATCTTGCAACCTGTTTAACCCATGCAGCAGCAGCAGAATTTCTGGACCCCTTAATACATGTCACAGCAATAAGACATTCTGAACAGGGTTCATATTTTATTTGATTGTTAGAAACAACATAGGCAAATATTGAAAGTTGTTTATAAAGAACAGGAGGCCTGCAGGAAGGAAGTCAAATAGCTTTTGCTTAAGAGCAGCAGCACTCTATCCTATGCTGGAATGTGCTGCCACTCTGGTTGTGCTTCACACCCTGTGTGTGGAGATAATTCTCAGGGCCATGCTGAGCATCAGCTCACCATCCCCACACTATTTTGTCCCACCTTATGGTACAGATATGGTACAGATAGAAAAACAAGGCTTGTGTTTACAAGGGGGGGCTCCTAAGGCTTTTATGTAGTCAAAGAATAGACAAGAGCCTACAGCTACAGGCTATCAATGTGTCCAAGAGTTTGCACATGCATTGAGTAGGGTCATTCCTGTTTGACTGAAGTTAACTGAGGGTGGAAGGTACACAGGCACACAGCAAGGGAAGCAGCAGGGGCCTCTGCCACTGACAAGCCTCTGGTAACACCTACATAGCTGTATATGCTGCTACTAAAAGCTGCCTTCTACTCTGAGGCTCCCACCTTCCACCAGACAGGGCAGAGCAGGCCCCAGCCTAAGCCTCGTGTGTACATTTCCCCTTGCAGGAGCAGGGTGGATAAATGCTGCTTCAGCAATGCTCCCCTGCAGGCACTTACAATTTCAGAGCACTTTATTGCTGTGTAAATGATCCACATCTCTGGCTGACAGGCAACAACTAGCTGATGCTCCTGAAAGAGCCACTAAAACACAGATTCCACATCCCCCATCTCCACACAGACAGTTTTCAGCTGTGAGTAGCACTCTATGGCTGCCCGCCCGTTCTCCCTGCCAAATCCTGCAGGGAACAAGTCAGAAGTGAGAACTCAGCTCCAGGCAATGCCAGGCACCACACACACCCCCTGTAACTGGCATGTCATTGTACCAGGGAGAGTCAAACAGAGCTCACCTGATGCCTTGTATCCTCCAAAAGGCAGCTCCACAGGGCTGACGTTGTAGTTGTTAATGAAGCACATCCCAGCCTTGAGAGCAGCCACCACCCTATGAGCCTTCTGGATATCCCTGCAGGAAAAGGGCAATTCAGCTGGATCCCTTCCCCTTCATGCCCTCCTCCCCTGCCAGCTGACATCCCACTGGGGAAAATCCAGCAGGTCGCAGTCATTTCTGGAGCCTCACCCACCCTACCCCATGTCCCTGCCTGCTCAAAGGATGCAGCATCTATTCCCAAGGACACTCCAGACTGCACGTGGTGAGAGGGCAGGACAAGGACACCAGCAGACCACGGCCACAAAGACACACATCTTTGTGCACTTTCAGCAGCACAGCAGGGTCCTGGTGCCCATCTCCTGGAGATGCAGGAAGGCAGGCAGCAGGCCAAGCACAGCCTGGAAGGAGTCTGAAGGACAGCTGGGCCCACATAGCCCTTCAGGAAAAACTGGGAGGAGATGCACACTCATGTACAAAGTTCCCTTTTGGCAAATCTTTGCTCTGACTTTTCCAGAAGAAAATATCCATGCCCACCCCAAGCACCACAAGAGAAGCATCAAGTTGCTGCAGTACTGCCCTTCCCCTTCCCTCCCTTGACTGCTTCCAGTTGTACCTGGTAAAGACACCACCTGCCAGGCCATATTTGGTGGTGTTGGCTCTCTCCACAGCCTCCTCCTCTGTGTCAAACGGCAGAATGGACATGACAGGCCCAAAGATCTCTTCCTTCACACAGGTCATGTCATCCGTGCAGTTCCCTGGCAGCAGGACAGAGCACACGTGCTTCAGGAAGCAGAGCAAGCAGAGCAGCCTGTGCCTGCAGCAACCCACACAGCCTCTGAGACAGCACTCAGCACTGCACTTGGCTAGCAGAGGATTAAGTCCCACCCTGCAACTCAAGGCAGCAAAGGCACTAACTGCACTGTCAGACCTTCCAACAACAGAGATCTCTCTGGATGGAGTTCTTGAGTGGCTCAGCTCTCTCTAGTTCACCCATCTGAGTGCTGGTCTATACTGTGGACATACACAGAGACAGGTCACACTGAACACAGCTTTCTCTAGAAGAAAATCAGCAACATCCACCTAGAAGACTGCAGTAATAGGAAGGCCCATACCTAACACACAGGGTTGCATGTAGTAGCCATTCTTTAGCTTCGGGTCATCTGGCACAAACAGGTCCCCACCACACAGCACCTTTGCCCCCTGAAAAAGAGCCAAGCACAGGGTAGGCAGGCACGTCCAGGGGCAACCTGCCCAGCTGCCCCAGCTCTGGCTGGCCAATACTCCCTGCTGGGTTTACAGTCCTATCAGATAAACCATGTCTGTGACCCTCCTGGTGTCTCTCCAGGTGATAGATCAGGGTCAAGGTGAGACCCAGCCTAAAAGTCCAAAGAAAGTTTGGAGTGCAAGTGCCACAGGAGCCAGTGCAGGTCAGAGGGAAGGAACTACAACTAGGAGCAGATACTCAGCTGGGATCACATTAATTTCCACACACAGGGTGAATTCCCTCATTAGGGAGTCAGTCACCTGGCAAGAAACAACTACCTCCATCAAATGTCCAGCTTTAGAGACAAGGATTTCTCCTTCCCCACATCTCCTTCCACACTCCTTTTCCTGTTTCCAAATCATTGTCTAGCCATCCTGGCTTCCCCTCACAGGTCCCCTGCTCCAGCTCATCCCCAGATCAGCTACACCTAAGTCATATGCCTACCACTGACATTTAAAACATCTTTACACTTTACAATAAAACCTGAAGAAAAGAAAGCCTGGGTAGATCTTATTGCTCTTACAGAGATTGTTTCCAGGAGCCTGCAAATTTGGCCTTTGATCCTTAGAAATTTCTGCCATCAATAAATTTGGAGCCCAAATGAAGTAACAGCCAAGCATGCAAGGTGTCATCACAACTTACAACTAGAGCCCCAAACTTTATGAATTCTCCCATCTTACACACTGCCATGCTGGGTGTTTCACAACATTTAAAGCCTGGCAGCATCAAGCTATAAAAAGCCATGTTGCCTTTAGTGCTTCTTCAGAAATGGGCACTGGCTCACTTCTCACCCAGTGCCCCAACACACCTTCTCAAGTAATTCAACCACAAAAAACCAAATCCAACAGCTTAACTGGGAAAGCACGGGGTAGGAGGGAGGCAGCTGCCAGTCTGTTTGTCTAGTAAGAGCAAGACACACTTCAGGGCAGTCACAGGGCAGCAGCACCATCTCACCTGCTCCTTTGCCTGCTTGATAAAGCCCTGGACACGCTCCAGGTGGGGCCGGTTGATCAGGGCTCCCATCCGCGTGTCCTCCAGGAGCGGGTCCCCGATCCTGATCTTCTGGGTGCGTTTCACCACCTCCTTTGTGAAGGCATCCAGGATCTTCCTCTCCACAAACACACGTGTGCCATTGCAGCACACCTGGGACACAGGACAGGCTGCTCAGAATAAGACAGGCAGCACCCCCCAGGCCTCCCCTGCTCGGGTCCTGCTACAGAGGCTCTCAGAAAAGCCCCTCTTGCAGCTGCTAGGACAGGTAACTCATCCCTGGGGACACAGAAGATTAGACTGCCCTGCTGCTCATGACTGCACTGAACAGTCCATGCTGGATACAGTGATACTGATGCCACCGGGTGGCAAAAAGAACCAAGTCACCAGCAGAAGAGAACTTGAGCTGCCTGTTCAGTTCCCAGAGATGTCCCTGCTAAGCCGATTTGCCAGCAGGATTACACAACACCCACAGCACATGTGGAGATCCCAAACTTGGGATGGACAGAAAGCACACCAAATTGGAACCTGCTGCCCCTTCAGAGGAAACCAGCACAACTTCTGACTCGTGTGCACCAGACTGGAGCCCAGGGCACAAGAGCAGCTGCTCTGAGCTGAGCATTGGGTGCTAGGGGCTTCACTTTTGGGAAGGACAGGGCATTGGCTAAGGAATGATCTGCTGGGACACCTTGCATTGGCTTCTGCAAGAGCATTCCTTCTGATCCCTTGTGACACCACACGGGGAAATTAGGGGGGAGGTGGGAGTTTCAGGGCATCCCTCTCTAAGCCAAGTCACAGGCTGGCTCTGCTGCCCAGTTCTCAAACCACCCACCCCCAGTGGGGAGGAGCAGATGCACACACCTCGCCCTGCGTGAGGAAGTTTGCCATCAGGGCTCCCTTCACAGCATTCTCAAAGTCACAGTCAGAAAAGATGATAAGGGGGGATTTGCCCCCCAATTCCAGGGTAACTGGTTTGATCCCTTTAGATGCCATCTCCATGATCTGAGGGAAACAAGGACAGAAGAGACAAGTGACCCACTGGTAAATGCAAGACTGGCGGAGGCAGGTAAGAGACACCCCAGGAGAGAGTTCCTGCAGGGCCTCTCACAAGCAAGAGAAGCAGCATGAAGGGCAGTCTGGGGTTCCTAGAGGTGTTTAGTTCAGACTGGGGCCAGCAGGTTGTATCCAGCCACACCAAATCATGACTGCCAGAAACACACATTTTCTCAGTGCTGCTCCATTTTATGTTCCCTCCTCCCCACACATACACCCCCACTTCAGCAGCTCAGACACTTCACTGGAGCCAGGGGCTGAACAAGTGGAGATGACCAAGGGGCTCCTCTGAAATGACTGAGAGCCCAAGCCTGTGCCCAGTAGGCTAACTGGAGCCCCAGTGCAACCCTGCAGGTGCAAGCCTTTTGCTCAAACCCAGAAATGCTGACTAGCACCTCATCTTGACAAGCCTCATGCACAAAAGCTCGAGTGCAAAAGTGCCTTTACCTTGATGCCAGTTGGCACACTGCCAGTAAAAGAGATTTTGGCCACATCTGGGTGATGACAGAGGAGCTGGCCTGTGGCTGCCCCACCCTGCACCACATTGAAGAGCCCCTTGGGTACACCAGCCTCTGTGAAGATCTCTGCCAACCTCACCACTGAAAGTGGGGTGAAGGGAGAGGGCTTGTAGACCATCGCATTGCCTAGGGGAACCCAGACAGAGACAAGGTGGGGTTAACAGCCAAACTGCTTCAGGGGAAAGAACAAGAACACTAAACAAACAAACCCTTCCCCCTCCCATACAATGAGCTTGTCTCAACACATCTCAGAACATGCCCTTGAGAGTGGAGGAAGCAGTTTGAACTGAAAACTGCAACAAGGGAAAAGGAAGAACTGCTTCTTGGGAAGGGCTGGGGGAGATGGGGCTGCTGGTTCTGCACTGCAGACATTCCCAGAGACCTTCCAAATCTGATACAAAGTAAATCCATCAGCCTGTTTCCTGACACACACCCACTGTCTTAGCATCTGTAGTGTTTCCACTTCTATTTCCATTCCCTTCCTGCTAATCCTTCAACGCTTCCTTCCAGGTAATCCTAGGCTTTATTCCCCAAATCACTCTCCCCCCCAGGATCATTTGGCTTTTCAGAGAAGCTTGCATGGGCAGAGTCTCCATTACCACAAGCCAGGGCTGGGGCAGCCTTCCATAAGGCAGTCTGGAAAGGGTAATTCCAGGCTCCAATCCCAACACACACCCCAAGGGGCTCTCTCCGAGTGTACCCAAAGGATCCTCCAGGAAGTTGGATGTGTTCACCTGCAAAGAAGAGAAACAGCCAAAGGTAAAGAAGAGCAGAACCTCCACCTGTCTTAACAGAGCCCCAGGGGCCAGGTCTTGCTTTGCCTGGGAGCAGAGACACTTGTGCTCACAGAGCATGGGAGTGTTAGGCAGAGATCTCTGAAAATCCTTCCAAGATGTTAAAAAAAAAAAAAAAAAAGAGTCATCCAACTCCTGGAGAAATCAGCAGGGAAGTTACCAGGCAATACACATGGCAGGACAGAGAGTAAAGAGCAAACTCCAGTAACATTCTCACCAGCAAGAGATCCTGCCAGTCCTGCATAATACTCCAGGCACTGCCAGGACACATCAATGTCCACTCTGGCTTCAAAGATGGATTTCCCATTGTTGATGGTTTCCAAGGTGGCAATTTCATCTCTCTGCTCCTGTGAGAGGGGCAGGACAATGTGACAATGTATTAGAGAAGCTTGCAGCAGAACTCCACAGGGAGACAGCTGCTTCCCTAGCACACAAGTCCCAAACAAGGCTCTGCCATGAGAAAATGTCTCCTCTAGAAGGTACAGTCCCAGTTGCTATTCATCAGTTTCCCAGTGATGACTGATGGCAGGGGAAGGTCAAACAGAGGCTGGGGTTCA